ACCATGACGGAAAAGTCTGCCTGAACTTCTTTTGCAAGAGAATCCATGGAGTCCATAACAGTCACCCTCTTTTCCACAGGGGCATCTGTGCTCAGTGCACAGCGGTGTACCCAGCCGGAGACTTAAAGCGATACGAAAACTATCACGTATTTATTTGATTGTAGTGAAGAGCATTAATACCAAGTTTCAAGTAATTTTGAAAAAATTTTTTTTTGGTTGTATTATATACGTGTTTTCCCATTGGAATGTGATAATCTGCCGCGATAAAAAGTAATCTATATCGCTCTCCAGCCCTCCAACATGTCCGCCAATACGTACTTCCGTTTCGACGTGAAAAAAAAAAAACAAACAAACACACTTTCACATTTATAATAGAATGAATGGAAGAATGTGGATGTTGATAATGTTAAAATTCAACTTTTATGAACGGTATCGGTGCAATATTTTTATTGCGCATTGGTTATATAAAAATAATATAATATTACATCGTTATACATATGCTAAAAATTGGATTTCTAAAGAAATAACCAATTTTCCTCAATACGTAACAAGTTTAATACGTAAGTGTTAACACGATATCCATTCAAAGTCTAATATTTCTTTTGCATACGTTATAACAAGCAATAGTTGCATCGCCTGAGTTTGTATTTGATATACAGTCTATAATGAGTCTCTCTTTGAATAAAAAACGCGCAAAGTCGAGTGCTTAATATTGTTTAGTTGAATTTAGTAAAACTTTTAAGAAAAAAGACGGAGTTTTACCAAAACCCATAAAACCGTTGGACAATCAATACATCACTACCTATAATTTTATCTAAACCAAAATCAAGTAAAACAAGAATAGATATCTTCCAAAGGCAAGCAAGTCCACTTAGCCGAGATTTTTTTGTATTGTTTCTAGTTTAAGAAGCAATAAACAATATATATAATCTATACTATATGTTGGAGAGCTGGCTTGGACCATTAGCTTAATTTTAAGAGACTATCTCATTCCTACAGGAAAACAAGTCATAATAATACAACCCAAAAAAATATTTATAATCATAATTACTTGAAACTTGGTACAAATGATCTTCAATACAATTAAATAAATACGTGTTTTAGCATTTTTCAAAATTCATCCTATAAGGGAGTAAAATAGGGGATAAGGGTTTGTGTGAAACCTACATTGTTAGATTTTTTTGTAGTTTTAGCGCGAGCGAAGCCGCGGTATTTGCTAGTAATACATAAATATGAGTATGAATAGGCGAGTGATTTTCTTCTTCACGCTTTAACGGTTCAATAAATATTAATGAATTTAAAATGAAAGTAATTTTTTGGTATATTTTGCAGCATTATTGTTTGCTGGTACAAACATCAACATAAAACTCAAAAAAGATTGATATTTAATCTTTTATCGTAGTGCCTACCATGTGACAGGAGATGCGGGAGGAGAGATATATAATGTGAAGACTTTTTGTACAAGTTTACTTGTAGGCTTTCGGCTAATAACTTCATGATATTATCAACAAACAATATTTAGCATTGTTATTTTTCAAAATCTCATAAAAATGCATGCATTCTTATTAAATAGGAAGTGTGCGAGGACGAAGGTCGCGCCAGCTTTGTTTGCAAATAAATTAAATTTCGCATTCGCAGTACAAATATGATTGTTACATTCGCGTGACATCACATAGCAGTTTCAAATATTCTAGCAAATGGTTTGGTTTTATACTCAACGACTACGACACGATTATGATTCGTATCCGATTGTAAGTAAAATTAGCTTGGTGTGATTGATATATTTTTATTACATGAAGTATTGTTACTTACACGCATAATTTTTTTTAATATATTTTTTTAAAACGTTTATGAAATAATCATTACATATTTATAACCAGCGACTTCACGCTACTCGCTCGGGTGCAATTTTAAGTGCCTGCTATATGTCTATCTGTGTAAACGTCATTTCGACGTAAAGTAGAAGCATACGCACACACACATACTATCAACGGACTATAACAAAAGCGAAAGTTTGTATGCCTGTGTGTATATGTATGTGTATATGTATGTAAGCAAGGGTGAGTCACTAATTGTAAATATCTTAATATCTTATCAATATATCGTATCGTGGCCGTCAAGTCGTTATAAAAAATATTGCGTAAATTTATTAAAGACAGACTTATTAAAGAAATAATAATTAAAACAAAATATGCGATTTATCCAACACAGACAGTCAAATTATAAAGTGCCAGTTATAGTGGTAATATGTATATGGATGGGTAATTATAGTGTGGTTACGAAATTGATGAGCTGAAAGGGCAAGCCAAGGTAAAAGAGCAGGTTTTTTTGGTTAAATAACGTGTAAAGTCTCATAATAAAACATAATGGATATTCTAATCTGAATTTTACCTTGATTATAATAAAAAATAATTAATGATTATATATTAATACACTTTTTTTTTTTATTGTCGGGAAATGCATTAACGCATACCACCTGATCCCCCAGGTGGTGATGTGGGGCTCACCGGCTAGAAGAGCCGGTACTACCCACTAAAACCCGACATCCCTTCCCCCCGCCTTAGTGGGACGCCGCAGGATCGCTTGCGCATAACTACTACGGCGCCCCGGCGGCAGGTCTGCCTAAATACTAGGCAGACCACCAAACCAATGGGGCTGCTCCACAGTCAACTCTGCTACGTCAGAGAGGTACCCGGAGCAGCCCCATAAAACCAAAACACCGCCCACCGAAGTGGGCCACCTCCAATCGGCTGCAGAGGACAGGGAGAGCGGCAACGAAACACCGACACTTCTCTTCCCCTGCAGCCCCACCGCGTCCGCCATCAAACGGTGGCGGCCCCGTCTAGGCCGCGGAAGGTAGGGAGAACTGCGCACCGAAATACCGGCACTCCTCTCCCGCCGCGGCCTACCTCTCCGCCGAATGCGGGCCTGCGAACACAGTCCCGCAACCGGCACCCATCATCCGGTTGTGGGACCAAGCGGTCCCACCACCGGTGACCGCAACGTCTTCGGCTCGAGGCCTAGACGAGCGGCCCCATCCAAGCCATTTGGTCCGCGCCGGATTTCTCCGGTACCACCCGCCCCTCTAAGCGGGTGGCATGCCCCTATCCGCCACCTGGGGACGCGCCCGGTAGGAGTTGGCTTCTCCCCCGGGATATATTAATACACTAGGTTATTCTTTAAATTGATATAACTTTCTTATTTATCATCCGATTGAGATAAAATAAATGCTAAATGTTAAGTAAAGCTTACCGCAATAGATTAGTGAAAACCGCACCCAAATCGGTTAGACCGTTTCTGAGATTAGCGCGCACAAACCCACAGACAAACAGACAAAAAATTTAAAAACCATTGTTTTGGATTCTATTGCGTCAATAAAGATCCCCATTAATAGTTTTTCACAAATATATATACAATATTAGTATATGTATATACTTTGTTATGTTTTAGGATATAGCACATAAACTTAAAATTGTAAACGGAGTAATATACAACCTTGTGCAAATATTGATGTACTACACTGACAATTTGTATCATATGTACTTAAGAAAAAGTTACCCTGACTTAAAATTTCTTAACTAAAAATTCATTAAGAAAAGAAATTGGAAAAATGACCATATTTGATGAAAATCTATACATATAATACAATTGTAATCTAGCCGAATCCGTACATTAAATATTTTTTGGAAAATCTTATTGAAACCAACATTTTCGATACAGAGGCCGAATCTATAGTTTTTAGAATTTTTGTCTGTCTGTCTGTCTGTTACCGCATCACAGAAAAACCACTGGAGTGTTTTTGATGAAATTTGGTATGGTGATAGCTGGTTATCCGGGTTAACATATAGGATACTTTTTCCCCCGGGAAAATGTCTCATTTCCATGTCATATAAGAATATCTAAAAAAAAAAACCTAAACATTTTTAAAGATAAATTATATTATTATTGATTTTACAAAGACAAAATGACGATTAGCTTAGGCCCCCAAGAAGTATAGCCCGGGGCCCCCCAAATTCACGCTGCCCTGTCAATAACCTGTCTGAATCTTTCCTTACTAGAGACCAAAATTTGACATAAAAGCCAAAAATTATGTCATTTTTCTACCGCTAATAAGGAGAATCGCTTATTAATAGGTTATTGGGATCCGCTGTACATAAATGTATTAGGTAAATATGTGTATGTTCGGAAAAAGAAGCTATGAAAGAATTTTAACAACTGAGTCGTTACTTTGAAAAGATATAGACTTTTCAGATATATTGTACTCAAATATATATAAATAACTAAAAACTCACCCTCGCTCCGCTCGGGTTCATATCCCTAGTGAAAAATAAAAAGAAATCTATCCCACGGGAATCACTTTTCCGGGATTCACGTAATTTTTTCTGGGATAAAAGGTAACCTAAATGCTTTTCCAGACTATAATCTATCTCTGTGCCAAATATCATCCAGATCCGTTCAGCCGTTCTGGCGTGATTGAGTAACAAACATCCATCCATCCAAACTTTCGTATTTGTAATATAAATAGGATTTACCTTAAATACAATGTAATAAATAATAATTTAAGGCTGTATAAAGGAGGCATATGTGTTTCTTATGACTCATGATTGTTTTTCACATGCTACCTTACTATTAACGATAGGTTTCGAGTGACTTGTGTATGACATACACTGTATATATGGAATTAAAAATATACTTTATAGGTGGAAACTTTGCTGGTGTGTGGATTTTTTAGTTATTAATTATCTTTAATGAATTATTATTTATATTTATATATTAATTTTTTATTATTATTAATTATCTCACTGTTTGTTTCCAAAAATTAATAAATAAATAAATATACTTGTACTGTGTTGACTTTCAATTATTATGGAAAGTAGGAAATTTTACGACGAAAATGATCATCATTATAATCAGCCTGCTTTCGTCCTCTACCGGATATAGGCCTACAAGGTTCTTTATAATATTTAGAATATATTTGAATGCCTCTTTACGTTACTAACCGCTCCGGGAATCCCCGCAGATATGAAGAGGGCCAGGGTGTCGGGCCACGGCAGCAGTTTGTACTGTTCCCACCATCTCTTCACCACCAAGCTCACATAGAAGCCAAGCACGAAGGATACGGGTATTGACTCGCTTTGCGCGCCAAAATACTGACGCACCCTCTCGAATACTCTGAAAATTATAATTGTAACTATACTTTAACATATGAAAAAAAACTATACCAATTAGATTTATATAAGCACCTTTTAACCGTCTATTTAATTTAAAGAGTCAGACAAGACTAGGAAGCCAGCACTGTTGAAAAGAGAAAGAAATATAAATTAACTATTTCGGAATAATATTAAATATGTTTAAGTTTTCGGAATATTATCGTATAAGTTAGTGACTTTATAAGTGTACTAGCGATTTACCATTGCTTTGCTCGGGAGCGACCGTAGATACCTTCTAATTTTTTTGAACGGAACCCTAATTCTTTTTCTAAAATAAAAGTAGCCTAAGTTACTCCCTATAATATCAGCTGTCTACCAGTGAAAGTCCTGTCAAAATCAGTCCAACCGTTTCAGAGACTAGCCGGAACAAACAGACAGACAAAAAAAATTAAAACTAAGTATCACATAGATATTATTTCGTATGATGCATTTAGTAAAAAGCTGTGTTTTTTGACATTACAAACAGACACTTCAATTTTATTCATCTGTATAGATAATAAATTATTATAAAATATAATATGTTATTTTAAAACATGTTAATATATATTCTAAAACTTAATATATTATTTTTAATTAAGTATAAAACTTATTTTACTGTGTAATAAATGTAATACTGTGAATGTTTTGAAATAAGTCAGATCAAATTCACAGTGAATCAAAGGAAGATTATTATTAACATAGCTCCCTTTCTACCTTTGATGTTGCCGGATTACGTTCTACTGCATCTAGCAAAATTAATTATCTAACGATGCCTGGGGATACCGAGGGGCTTAAACTTAGCACTATAAATCTAGATTATTTTAACCAGCGACTCAAAAAGGAGTTATGAGTTTAATAAGTAGGTATATAAGCGCCCCCCCCCCAACGTGCGTTCACCTTGTCGTGGTGGGGGGGCTCAGTAGTGCCCGGCAACCCAACCGGGCGCGAAGCCAAGAAACGCACAGGGAGGTAGTCCACTTCGGTGGGCGGTGGGAGGTGGCCCTCTTCGGTGGGCGGTGTACCATGTGGGTTGCTCCTGGTACTTCTCTGATAGCAGAGTGGACTGTGGAGCAACCCCATGGTTGTGGTGGTCTGCTTCGGCAGACCTGCCGTCGGGGCCTCGTAGTTGAATGCGTAAGCGATCCTGCGACGCCCCATTAAGACGGAGGAAGGATTTGTTGGGTTTTAGTGGGTAGTACTGGCTTTATTACGCCGGTGAGTCCCACACCTTGTACGTAAATGCATTTCCCAACGTTAAAAAAAAAGGTATATAAGCGCCCAAACGCATGAAACGATTTTGATTTAGTTTGTTTTTGTTTGAAAGGTGACTTGATCGAGAACGTTCTTAGTTATAAATTAAGAAAATTTGCAGGCAGAAACATCGTTTTGCAGGCTTTCAGCACTTTTCTAAACGAAAAAGATGTAAAAAATTTACAAAGATCTAATCAATTCGAGACGAACCCGAGCGAAGCGATAATACAATATATTTATATTATTATTATTTAAAATAGAATTAAATAATAATATTATTCTATATTGCTGTACCATACTTTAATTTTTTGATAGCATTTCTTTGTCTCTAGCTTTATTTGTATGAAGTAGTGTTTACGTACAGTCGCAGCATATTTTGACGTCATTTAATGAGTACGAGTAGGGTCGCTGTCGCAATTAGTTTCCCCGTGCAAATACAAGCAATGAAACATTTGCAATGTTATATTAATATCCAGGTATTTGTACGTGATCTTGATTTAATATACTTTTAACTTTGATAGAAATATGCAAAAATATGTAAAATATATATATTTTAATGTTATGTAGATGTGTAAATAAAGAAGAAAGTTACAGAATATTTTCAACCGACTTCAAAAAGGAGGAGGTTCTCAATTCGACTGTATGTTTTTTTTTTTATGTTTGTTACCTCAGAACTCCGTCATTTATTAACCGATTTGGACAATTTTTGTTTTGTTTGAAAGGATATACTTCCAGATTGGTCCCATTTAAATTTCAAAAAAAAAATACCACCCCTAAGGGTGGAAAAATAGCTAATAATGATTTAACCTACTTCTAATTGTCATATTGACTTGAAACTTTGCAAGTATTTCTATTTCCGTTGATAGTACAGTGGTGCGGTGTTGTTGACCTGATCTGATGGCAAGGCCAGAAGGTGGATAGGTGGAACTCTTCAACGGCTAATAGTAGATACTTTGAATTTGGGCTTATTTTGTTTGATTTGACAAGCCTAACACGTTAGAATCCTTACTTTGCTACTACTGTCTACACTAAAAAGGGAAAAATAAAAACTTTTTAACAAAAAAATAAAAACCGACTTCAAACAAAAGCACTAAAAAGTAAAAAATAACTGATTGGTAGTTTTCATTTACTATACATACCTAATCAAATATTTTCGAAGTCGGTGTGCTTTGGCTAAGTAATTAAAGCCTACCTATTAAATACATACCTAATCAAATATTTTCGAAATCGGTGCCAGCCCATACAAAGCAAAGCACACCGACTTCGAAAATATTTGATTAGGTATGTATAGTAAATGAAAACTACCAATCAGTTATTTTTTACTTTTTAGTGCTTTTGTTTGAAGTCGGTTTTTATTTTTTTGTTAAAAAGTTTTTATGTACAATAAATTAAAATTAGAAGATATGTTTGTTATATTAACAGGGGACACTTTATTACTGGCAGAAGCCTTATATTACTCCAGGTCCATATCACAGTCTGTGTACTGAGTTTCATCTAAACCAGACCAACCATTCCAACGTTATATATATATATATATATATATATATTATATATAAATATATATATATATATATATTATATATATATATATATATATATATATATATTATATATAAATATATATATATACACACATACACTCGCACACACATCGAATTGATTAGTCATTAGAATGATGAAGTTGCAGTTAGAATGATACATATAACTAAGTGAATTGTTTATATGTTACAGAGGTCTTCTATTAGAATAATGAAAGCGAACCAATAGGGAATGGTCATTACGCCAATGCTTATAATAGTACGTCTAACTTCACACCGTACGATTTCCACCTTTTTTTTTTAATCTGACTGACATTCGACAATGAGTACTGGTCACTTTGACATTTATATAACACTAGCATTGCCCGCGGCTCCGTCCGCGTTCAGATGACCAAAAACCAAATTCTTAGGTTTTACATATTAGTATACTCTTACAATGCAGTTTTTGTATTTTTTCTCAGAATTGCGACATTTTCCCGCGGTAAAAAGTATTCTATATGTTGACCCGGATAACCAGCTATCATCATATCAAATTTCAACAAAGTCTGTCCAGTGGTTTTCTCGTGATGCGGTAACAGACAGACAAACAAAAATTCTAAAAATTATAGATTCGGACTCTGTATCGATAATAATGTCTATTTCAATTAGATTTTCCAAAAAATATTTAATGTACAGATTCGACTTAGTTACAATTTTATTATATGTATAGATTCATTTTGCCCGCATCTTCGCTCGCGTTTAAGCGGTTCGGGGTTGAAGAATAACATACATATGTGAAATTATAGTATACAATCTATATCCTTGCCAAACTTTATCGAAATCTGTACAGCGGTTTAAGCGTGAAAAGGTATCAGACAGAGTTAATTCTCGTATTATTATGGATAATTATTTATAATTGCCACGTCCAATTATAGTTCAGAAGACCCAATTATGCCCTATTTATATTAAAGTGGACTGACGCATATTGCTCTATACTTGAATTAATAGTACCGCTGCAAGCTCAACGGCCCTACTAGACTATCGGTAAAAATCTTTGTCGAAACTTGAACCCACTACATCCGTCGAGATACTCAGTTCATTACACAAGACAGTCAGTAAATTAAAATAATATTTCATAATTTATAAATGTATTTAACTTTAATTATTAATATATTGTAACATAATTTAATTTAAATAAAATTAGTCATTTATTGACATTATAGGAAATCATTGACAATATAAAAATGCTTAATATGTATTCTGTATGTTACTGTAAAACCTGTATATTGGTAAATCTTAGTTTTAACTAGTATGTCTTAGGATTTACCAAATGAAATGGTAAATATAAGGACCTTTCAAAAAAGAAATGAGCTTTCTTTTTTTTCTTTGGACATTAACACACAGCTCCATCTAGTTCCATGGTAAGCTACGAGGCTTGTGTTATGGATACCAGATAGTTGCAGCTACATATATATAACTTTAAATACATACATATTATTAATATAAACACCCATGACTGGAGCACAAATATTCGTGTTCATCACACAAATGAACCCAGCGGGACTAGAACCTGCGACCGCTGGCACAACGAGTAAGGTCACTATAATCTGAGCCAAATGTGCCGTTTCTGGCTTTTAACCAAAGCATTACAAGCGCCATTTTGATAACTCCATCAGTAAGGATTAGTTTGGGAAACAGTTAATGAATATCAGTCACAATTTGGTAGAAATTCGAGAACGTTTGTGCACAAAGCACGGATTACGCCGAAACGGTTTTGTATTCGCTTTGCATTCAATATTCATGTACTATGAATGATAGTTTATTGATGAAATTCTGTGGTTTGGAAATCCATAGCCAATATAATAAACAGTGCGATATTGAACGGTGTTCAATCCTCTATAACAGATTTTACATATAGATGTTTGTTTGTAAATATCAGTTTATAATTTAACATTATTTAAATCTTAGTGTTTAAACATCATACTGATTCACGTAATACTTTCTTAGTATTGAAATATATTAATGAAAATAAAATCTTGGTTCTTCTATAATAGCTATAAAATACCTTTAAGACGTCTTAAAACTTAAGACGTCTGTCCCGTGACCATGATTGCTGTGGAACGTCGGGAACCAAAAATCAAAATAAATTCGCGAAAAAATCCGAAAAGATGTGTAGTTTTATTTAAAATATCATACTGACGTTATAAATTGGCAA